AAACCACCACTGTGGGCGAACCAGGACTTACTAACACACTGACATGAATCACCTTGTCAGAGGGGTGAGCATTAATTAAATAAAATGGAGATTCTGTTAGCAAATAAAAAATGTAAATGTATGTCAGGCAAATAAGCAACAGTGTCCGCTATTGCACATTAAGAGATGAGAGCAGGTATTGGTAAACCTTTTCTGGAAAGGGACAGATATAGACAGTATTTTCCTCTTTGAGGGCCATAGCTCTTGGTCGTAAGAACTCATTTCTGCCTTTGCAGCGTGAAACCTGCCACTGATGAGAGACGGATGGGTGTGGCTGGATTCGTCTCTCCACTGCAGACAGTCAACCCCTGGATAAAAGGCTGAAACACAGAGGACTTCTTACTACTGGCCGTGGGCTCTACCGCCTTCTCTGAGATTTATATCTAAGCTATACATGCCTCCCAAATAAGGGTACATCTAAACCACAAAACGCGTACAATAATTTTCATAGCAGCATTATTCATAGCAAGGCAAACTGCAAACAACACAAGTTTCATTAACAGTAGGAAAATCCGCCACATACGCAAGCTATGGATTCCGTTCTGTCCCAGCAGCTGGGGTTGGAACCTCAACCCAAACATCACCCCAGGGTCCTGGGCGACTAAAGATGCAGCTTCAGGATCAGGAGCCCCTCCGGACAGACACTGACCACACACACCCTCGTTATTTCGAAACATGCCCCAGAGATCCTCACGTGACGACCGCCCACACTGGACACAACATCACTGTCAAACATCGAACCTGACACAGCGATCATCCTAAATGCCACCTCCATCCATTACAATCAGAGCGACCCACAAAGACCATAACAGTCAGGACACGGTCGTAGATCTCTAAAGACCCTTAATCGCCTGATGACCCCCAAAGTACCCCAGCCACAGACAGACGTGTCACACCTGGTTGCTCCCAAATGCCTAGGCGCTCCTCTTAAAACCCCCGCCGATAATTCCACGGGCCCAAATACACCACTTCCCCCCTGTGACGTCAGGTACTCTGTGGGAGACAAACCTCCCAGAAAACTTTTTAAAAAGATTTCATTTTTTAGAGAGAGGCGTTAAGGAGGGTTTAAGAAAGGGAGAGAAACGTGGATGGTTGCGTCTCTCACGCCCCCAACCGGGGACCTCACCGCAACCCAGGCAAGTGCCCGGACCGAAAATCAAACCTATGACCTTTCGGCTTGCACGCCGATGCCTAAACTACTGTACCACACCAATAAGGTCGAGACAAACTTTAAAAGAAAAACTTTAAAGGACAACAAGAGCACACTGACCTGATTTTCTTTAGCCCACCAGGAGAGACTGACTAAACGTTACACTTCCGCAAACTGCTTCAGCTTCTAGAAACGTCGTCGCCCAGATATTTCGTCAGCCTGTGGCGGCCGAGAAGGATCTGAGGTATTTGAGTAAACGCAGGAGATTTCCAGCAAACCCCTCCGAGGCAACATGTCGGCGTCCGGCGCGCGGTGCCACCGTGGGGGCCGCCATGTTGGGGGACCTGATTGCCGTACAGGAAGCCAGACGCTACTTTGGCACCAACATCCAGGATTGGCTAGAAGGTGAGAAGCTCATTAAATTACCTTCTTTACTGGCACTTCGTAGTCCTGCGGAAAATGATTTTCGGAGATTCGAGTTTCTGGAGACGAATACGGAGTAAGCTAAATACTGCTCGGCGGACTGGGCAAAGGAGTCATATGGCAGCAGCCTTTACATTTTGTATAAAGATTTTTTTTTTTTTAAGTTTTGAAATGTCCAGGAGCTCGGCTGTCGGTGTAGCAACAAAGAAATCCTGCAAAAAGAAAAAGTCATACCTTCAGTAAACGGACACCGCCGGGAAGATTCTGGCGTTAAATTTCTTGCAGGAATTGGTTTTTAACAACAGTAAAAGATTTCCAGAAACTAGTACAGTGTGAGGTTGGCCATCACTAACCAGGCAAAAAGAGCGGCCAGGAGGAGCTGAAGTAGTCGCTGAGATGGGGGCTTTGGGGAAAAGTCACCGAAGGTGAGGTCAATAAGGATCTGGAGCCGATGAGAAAAGGCACAACTAGAATTGCGAATCCAACACTGTTGAGGTCGGTTGCTTTTTGACCAAGGTTCCAAGATAAGCCAACTTGGTGGTAAGTCTTTTCAACAGAACGTGCTGGAATAATGGCATATCTACTTGCAGAAAAATAAATTGATACCCTTAATTCTAACCATAAACAAAATTAACTTAAAATAAATCACAGACCTAAGTATGAGAGGTGAAAGCATAAAACTTAGAGAAGCAAACGGGAGATAATTTTACTGAACCTGAGTTAGCTACAATTCTAAGGGAAGACAGATAAGAATTAGTCATAAAGAAAAAATAATAAATTGGACTTAATTAAAATTTAAAACTTTTGTACTACTAAGCACAACATTTAAGAAAGTGAAGAGCTGAGCCAGAGATTGGGAGAAAATATTTCCACGTCATACATCTGATAAAAAGACTTGTATTCAAAATGTATAAAGAACTTGCAAACTCAACAATAATAAAACCACCGTTTAATTAGTTTATGTATGAGGTCATGAAATTTTCTAAAAACTGGATAGTGGTGATGATGGCACAACTCTAAACTTACTAAATGTCAACAAGTTGTACAATTACTACGTAAATATATTATATATAAATTATGGCCATAAAGCTGTTGAGATGAATTGCCATTATATAGTACAAAATTTATAGGGTATGAATTTAAAAAAACAAAACAAGACACCAAGTATAGTTGCAAAATTATAAACAACATAGGATTAAAAGTAATTGGAGCTGTCTGGAACATACAAGAAAAAAGTTACCAATAAATCAAGGAGTAAAAAAGTTTAAGAATTTAGCCCTAGCTGGTGTGGCTCAGTGAATTGAGTGCTGGCCTCTGAACTGCAAGGATTCTGGTTCTATTCCCGGTGAGGGCACATGCCTAGGTTATAGGCCAGGTCCCCAGTTGGAGGTGTGTGAGAGGAAGCCCACAGACGTTTCTCTCCCTCTCTTTCTCCCCCACTTCCTCTCTAGCTAAAAGTAAATAAATAAAATATTTTTTAAAAGTAAGAATTTAGATAATGAGAGGATCATAATATAAACTGAACATAATTGAATTTTATGTTTTTCAAGTATACCCCACTTTAAAGCATACCTTTTATGTGACTCTAGTTACCATCCTACTAGTTCACCCAAGATATTATTACAGCCACTTAATATTAATTACATATAGAGATACATAAACATTTTATGTTTCTGACAATAAAATTAGATTATAATCTTTTTCCAGTTTTATTGAGATATAATTGGCATAGATTATACCTATTTTTAATAAGCTTTTTATTTTGGAAAAATTTCATATTTACACAAAAGTCACAAGGTACTACACAAAGAGTTTGCATATACCTTCAACTTCCCATTCTGTAAACATTTTATGTAACCATGGTACATTTGTCAATTTGAGAAATTAACACTATAATACTCAACAAAATAACAGATTCTCCTCGGATTTCACAAGTTTTTCCACTACCATCTTTTTTTTTTTGTCCCAGGATTCAATCCAAAATACAATATTGCATTTGGACACCATGTTCCCTTGACTGTCTCTGTTCTGTCACCATTTCTCAGTCTTTTTCTCATTGATAGCCTGAATTATTTTGAGGAGTACTAATCAGGTATTTTGTGTATTAGTCCATGTTTTGGTTTGATCTAAGTTTTTCTCATTAAACAGGGATTATGAATTTTAGAAAAGACACCATGGAATTTAAGTCTCTCATCACACCAAATCTAGGGATAGAAAATAGCAAAATGACTTACCATTGATTTCCTGGTAACAGTAACATTTGCCAGATTTCTACACTGAAAATAGCAAAAACAATTCTGACCAAAAAGAACCATCATATAGGGCTCATATCAACATATTTCAAGACTTATAGGCAGTATTGGTATTAATAGTATTTCTGAAAGGATAAACATAAAAATAAATGGGAGAGAACAGAGGTCCCACAAAACACTCACAGAAATCAAATACACTCAACTGTTTGACAAAGGTACAAAGGCCATTCAATGGAGAAAGCATACACTTCCCAACAAATGATGCAGGATCATTTAGAGGTCCTTAGGAATGCATAAATAAATGGAATCTCCACAAATTCATCAAACAAGTTTTTATCAGATAAAAGGCTGGTATCCAGAACATAGAAAGAATTCACAGAAGTCAGCAACTTCAGAAACAGGTAAAGACCTTGAACACACACTCTTTCAAATTCAAGCAGACGGCAAATAAGCATATGAAATGATGGTCAACATCAGTTGTTACTAGGGAAGTAAAATTTTGCACTGTGATGTGATTGGTACAATTACCCTACCATTAGAATTGCTGAAATCAAAAGACAGAAAAGATGAAATTCTGGTGATAAGGTGGAGTAACAGGAGCTCCGTTTGTGGGAGACAATGCAAAAAACTACAGCCATGTTGGAAGGTACTTGAATGAATGTTTATACACATCATTTCAATTTTTACAAAGGTAATATTTTTAAAAATTTAATGAAATGGCATCACTAATGAGTAGAATTTAGGAAAATAGTTTTTACTTGTGTACAACAAACTTGAAAGGAAATATTAAAGAATAAACTTTGTTGTAAGATGAACAAAAATTTTATCATTACTTGTAGACACACCGTTTATCACAGTGAACTACTGTGATTTGTGAGGACATTGAGGAGAATGGATGTGGGAAACAAATTTTTTATGAGTCTATTGTAGCCAAAGTGACCACACTTACTGAGGAGCAAGATCTCAAATTCTCTAGGAGACAGGTTTTTAAGAGGATTTTTTGAGAAGGATCTGGGAGTTGAAAGACTAAATGGAAATGTTTCCAATACCTGAGCTTCAAAACACTTACTAGCCTGGACCTGTGGGTTTCCAAACTTCCAGACTCCTATGCTTTTAAATCCAAATAAACCCTGCACTCCCCAGATAGTGACCTCATATTCAATCTGAAATTTAACACAGAAACTCTTGTCCATTGACACCCTTCCCCGATTTTTATTAGATTTAAAGAGCTAATCTAGAGGACAAGCTTGGTTCATTGGTACACACCTCACACAGTTTTCCATCATGAAGCCTAGCCGGGTTGACATAGAGACCTTAAGCCCTGACTGTCAGACCTTCAGTCAGTCATCTCTTCAGACCAATTCTTTTTTTAAAGATTTTAAAAAAAGACTTTATTTATTTTCAGAGAGGTGAGGGGATGCAGAAGAGGAAGAGAAACATCAATGTGTGGTTGCCTCTTGAGTGCCCCCTACTGGGGACCTGACCCAAAACCCAGGCATGTACCCAGATGGGGAATCGAACTCGTGACCCTTTGGTTTGCAGGCTGGCACTCAATCCACTGAGCGAAACCAGCCAGAGCTCTACTAAAGTTTTTAGAGGCCAGAGCCTATTCAAGGCCAACCTGGCATAGGATGCATTATATCCATCAGTTTGGGCAAAAAGAAAAGTTGGCCGTGACCTTGAGTTGTTAGACCTAGGCTGCATTGCAACTTCCATGATGTCTGATGTCCATATGGCAGAAAAGACCCTAAGGAGCTTAGAGCTAGCTCTTAAGTTGAATTCATTTGAGGTCTGTTTTGGAAAAACCTACAGTTCACTCTTTCTCCTGGGTTTCTCCTTTACTCTCACACTATTTCCACCATCACAACACTCCTGGTCACCAAAAGTGTGTGTGCATGGGGTGGGGAGAGTTCCCCACACCAGAAATTCTCTGCACCATCTGGGTGTCCTACAGTTTAGCTCAGTTCTCACACAACAGTGTCAGATGTCACAGGTTAAGTCTTCAGTACCACAAGCTGCTTCCACCCCACTTCAGATGGCAATCAAAAGTAGTAAATCTCCAGTAAATACCCACTTCTTCCTTGGCCTCCAATAGAGTTTTTCACAACCCCTCCTCCAGTTCAGTTAATTGGCTAGAGCAGCTTATATCACAGAACTCAGGCAAAGATGTGCTTATGTTTAACACTTTACTAAAGAATATTATAAAGGTTATAGATGAACAGCCAGATGAAAAGATACACACTATGATTTCTGGGAGGGTCCCAAGCACAAGAGCTTTCGTCCCCATAAAGTTAGGATACATCACCCTCCTCGCCCACCTGGAAACTCTATGAATCCATTTACATTGAGATTTTTATGGAGGTGTCCTCAAGTAGACATGATTGATCATGCACTGTATTAACAGCCCCCTGCCCATCTCTGTATGTGTGGTGTGGAGCTGAAAATTCCAACCAGAGTCACCTCAATAGGACACACTGCTCCTAATGCTGTTATCACTTAGAAACTTACAAGGATTTCAGGTGCTCTGTCCCAGAAATGGGTGCCAGGGGGAGAGACCAGCAAGTATGTATTATCTACATCTCACAAGGTTAAATAGTCAAGCTCAAGAGGGTACATGTTAAGTGACTCCATTTTCTAATATTCTATTATTGACAAAATTATAAATGCAAAGTGAGCTGTAATACCAAGGGTTAGGGTCAAGTAAAGGATGTGACTATGAAGGGATAGCATGAGGGAGTTTTTATAACAAAAAATTCTGAATTTTCTAATGTGGTGTTGGTTACAAGAACCTACATACATGATTGTTTCTTAAAACTACCAAACAAAAATTAGTTCATGTTAGAACTGGACATACAAAGAAATTCTGTATTTAACAACAGTGTAACTTCACTTTTCTCAATTAGATAATAAACTATGACTATGTAAGTTTTTATTTTAAAGAGAAGCTAACTGAATAGAATTTAGGAAATTTCTAGAAAAACTTCAGTTTTTGTGATTCTAAACTTATTTCAAAAGTAAAAGATTTTAAAACATCATATTTATATTAATTTTATAAACCACTTGATGCTACTTATAAACTTAAACATATTCAAATAGGTTATCATTATGAAATGAAATATTGTTTCATTTTCAAGTACTTCAAGTGTTCTGAAATAAGACAAGCTTGGACATAAAGAAATGCAAAAGTTAATTATATAATAGAACACTCCTGTGTTGTATATATTAAAATTTAATTCATGATGAGAGAAATATGGCTGAAGGTATACTGTACTCAATTGCTTCTGAGGTGTATTATTTGTTTAGACATGACAGAATGCATTTTCTTTCCTTAATTAAATTATCTGTTTTGTCAAAGACCACCAAATTGAATGTGTTCATGAGTTATTTCTGCATGGATTTTCTAGCAAGTGATGAGGTAACAAATTGCCACAAACCATGCCATATTCACTGCCAGAGAAAATAATTTCTCTAGTGTGAACTGACATCCATTGAGGTCTTCCTTCTGGGCAGATGCCTCTTCAAAATTAGAAATATTCATTCATTAATTCATTCATAATCTCTGAGGATCACATGTAATAGGGTCTACTTCCCAATTAAGGGTTTCCTAGTTCGTCACATCCATAGGATTTATCTCAGTATACACTTTTTAGGTGTATAATGTCCTAAAATATTTTCATCAAGGCAGATATCTCAATTGTTTTGTAACTTTTTTAATCGATAGAAAATATGAGGTAAATTGATCAGTAAATACAGTACTACATTCTTTGCATCATTATTCTTCATTGCATAATATTAGGTTAGCCAAAAAGTTCATTCTTTTTTTCCATAAAATGGCTCTACTAGCGCTTAGGCGTCTTTAACTTCATTCAAAACAATTTTGTTAGATGGTATTGTGGCAGCTGTCATATCAACGTGCATTTAAAAAAAACGTATAAAAATCGGTGAATTTTTGTGCAGCCATTTTAATATTGAAGATGGGAAAAATATACAACATTTTCATTTTATTATGCTTTATTATTTCAAAAAAGATAAAAATGCAACTGAAATATAAAAAAAGATTTGTGCAATATATGGAGAAGGGAAGGTGCTGAAACTGTTGGGACACAGCCAAAGAGGTTTGCAAAGTTTCTGGTACTATTGGCATTTTGGTGAAATAATTCCTTGCTGTAGTGCTGTCTTATGCATTGGAAGATGTTTAGCAGCACCCCGAGCCTCTTTATCCACTAGCAGGCAATAGCAGAAGATAGTTGACACACTCAAAAGAAAGTTATTGGTGAAAATGAAAAATGTGTTTTTTATTTTACATAAAAACTAAGCAGACTTTTTGGGCAATCCAATATTTTATTATGATAAACCAGTCAAAATTTTCAAAGTGCTTTAAGTGAGAACATATAGTTCATTTAGGATAGTTAGACATTGAAAGGCAATGTATTTCTAAATGAATTAAAAATAAAGTTATTCTAAAGCTTAGGTCAAGTAGCTCAATTGGTTTAAAGCATTGTCTCAATTCACCACAAAGGGTTTTATTCCTGGTCAGGGCACATTCAAGCATCAACCAATGAACACAATAATAAGTGGAACAATGAATCAATGTTTATCTGCTCTCTTAAAATCATACAAGAATGGAACAATGAATACATAAATGAGAAAAAGCATTGATGTTTCTCTCTCTCCCCCTTCCCATTTTTATCTAAAAAGTAATAACATTTTTAAAAATAAAAAATAAATGGCTATTCTAATGGATAGAGAATTAAAAATAGAAGAAATTAGGTTAATATTATCAAAGGAAAATACCTGAAACCAAGATTCCAAAGGTGGTGCAATTACTGGAAATAAAGTGTTCCCATCTGCAGCCTTGACTTTGGGAGGTTCAGGTAGATAAGGGAAAAAAAGAAAACCTCATTGAAAAAAAGAAACAAGAAAAAGTGCAAAAAATTTTCACTATAAAAATACCAGTTGTGGTAAAACATATTCCTAAATTTTCTTTGGCTTACCACAACAAAACTTAATTTTTTCCACATGCTGTAACTATGTATCTTATATCTTAAACCTAAATCAAGCTTAATATCAGTGGGCAGAGATGTGTAATCACACAGGACACTGATGATTGTAAATCATACTAAATATGACAAGGCAGCTTCCATCAGAAATTAGTCCTGCTTTTGTTCACATAAAACACATTTGTGTTTTTTTCGCAATACATTTAATAAATTTACTTCATGGCCTACTTTACAAAGATTCATGTTAAGAAGACAGGTAAATTATCAGCTACCTAGTCCTCATGTTTTATGAAAGAGAACTTTTTGCAAAATATTGAAAATACTAAACCAGAAAATCTTTACATGGGTTTTCTTCCCACCTCTGCATGCCTTGTCCATGGATGACAGACAGCCCAGGGTAGGACTCCTCAAATGAATTTATTCCATGCAGTCTTCCAACTAGAGTAAGGAAAAAGTACTGAGCTGGATCCTGGAGATGTAGTGTCTGGCATAAAGGATTTTTTTCCTTGTCTGTTTTTAGAAATGAATATAAATGTCCAATGAGACTCCTCTGATTCAAAGCCCTAAGTAAATTCCTCCTCATATGTTATGATGGAACACAACACCAACACCTCAATATTTTCCATTCAGAAAAGAAAAAGGAGGTACCCAGAGGTCTCTGGTCCACTGATGACCCTGTGAATTCACCAAGTTCACAACATAAAAACAAAAAACCTTGGGGAAAATTCTAAAATCCAGGTAAGAAGCTGCAGCACTAAACACAAATGCCTACCCCTGAAACACTGAAAAAAAATTTAGCAAAGTTCGCCCTGGCTTGTGTGGCTCAGTGGACTGAGTGCCAGCCTGAGAACCAAAGTGTTGCTGGTTCTATTCCCAGTCAGGGCACATGCCTGGGTTACAAGCCAGGTCCCCGGTAGGGGGTGCACAAGAGGCTACCACACATTGATGTTTCTCTCCCACTTTATCCCTCCTCCTTTCTCTAAAATTGAAAAAAAAATTATAGCAAAGTTTAAGGTAATTTGCTCGCATTTGACTGTCTCTGCCCAGGACACTGCAGTGAGATAAAGCAGAAGAAACCTTCGTGATTCCCAGATCTTCCCTTGGAGAAAATTCAAATCCAAACCACAAAGAGATATCACCTCTAACTGCTCCATCCTCAAACACAACATAGACAAGTGTAGGCAAGTTGATGGAAAATGGCAACCCTAGCACACTGTTTCTGGGAATGTAAAGTGGTGAAGCCAATATAGAAAATAGTGCAAAAGTTCTACAAAATACTTAAAAAGAGAAGAGTGTTTTCTCAGGACACCCCAGTTCAGGAAATATGAGGTCTATTCAGAAGGTTTCCAGCCATGTAATATGAAAAATATACACATTTATTGAAGAAGGTATAAGAAACATTGTACATAGGACAATGACATCTCTGTCCCCTTAAAGTAGGCATGTTGTGTCCTCACACAGTTCTGCCAATAGCCATCAGCTGCCCCATTATATTTTCCTGAATCTTATCGACAGTCTGAAATCTCCTCCCTTTCGAAGATACTTTTAGTTTTTAGAAAAGCCAGAAGTTGAACGGCGTCAGATCCAGGCTGTAGGGTGCCTGAGTCACTTGGGTGATTTTGATATTTTGCCAAAAAATACTGCACAAGACATGAAGCATGAGCAGGTGTGTTGTCATGATGAAGGTGCCAATCACCGGTTTCCTATAGCTGAGGCCTTCTGAATCATCCAAATAGTTTCCACAGAGGAATGTTCAAGCTTAACACAAACTTTGGTGCAGATTCGTTGCTCTACTTGCTCAGTCATTTTGAATGTGACAGCCACACAATGCACATGCTCACTCAACAGCATCTACCATTCCCACTGAGTAGTACAGTGAAGTCATCATTGTTCATGCATGCACATTCCAGTCTACTCTCCTTGGTTGCATCAATGTCACGCTGATGTATACTGAGATGACTCTTCACTGTGAAGCCTTTTTCACATTCATTACACATACAGTTTCTCTGAAGTATGAGCTTGCTGATGTACAGTGAGATTAGCCTTCATGTTGAAGGCTTTCCAAATACATTACATACATAGGGCTTCTCCCCTATATATATTTGCTGATGTCAGATGGGAGGGCTCTTCAAGGCAAAGTCTTTCCCACATTCACTACAATATATAAGACTTCTCTCCTGTATGAGTCTGTTGATGTACAATCAGCATGTTCTTCCCTGGGAAGCCTTTCCCACATTCACTGCATACATAGGGTTTCTCTCCTGTATGAGTTCGCTGATGTACACTGAGTTTATTCTTCTGAGTGAAGCTTTTTCCACATTCATTGCATATATACGGTTTCTGGGAAGTATGAGTTCGCTGATGTACAGTTAGATCACCTTTCATGCTGAAGCTTTTTCCACATACACTACATACATAGGGCTTCTCTCCTGTATGTGCTCGCTGATGTCTGATGAGAGGGCTCATCCAGGTAAAGTCTTTCCCACACTCATTACATATATAGGGTTTCTCTCCAGTATGAGTCCTCTGATGTAAGATGAGGCCATGCTTCATTAAAAAGCCTTTTCCACATTCACTGCACACATAAGTTTTCTCTCCTGCATGAGTTTTCTGATGGGTAGTGAGACTAAACTTTGTAGAGAAGGTCTTCCCACATAGACTGCATCCATGCGGTTTCTCTCCTGTATGAGTTTGCTGATGGTAAATGAGCTGACACTTTTTGATGAATGCTTTCCCACATTCACTACATGAATAAGGTTTCTCTCCCAAGTGAGTTTTCTGAGGTATATTCAACTGTGATGTCTTGAGGAAAGTTTTGTCACATTCAGTGCGTTCATGCTGTTTCAGTCTTAGATGAATTCTCTGATGTTTGGTGAGACTGGATTTCCTGGAAAAGGCTTTCGTACACAGACTGCACCCATGAGGTTTCTCTCTAGTATGAACCCTCTGATGATTAGTGAGCTCAGACATCTTGATGAAGGCTCTCCCATATTCTATGCACCCGTGGACTTTCCCTACATTGTGAGTTCTCTGTTGCTGAATGACCAGGGACTTATTAATGATGGGGTTGGTGCTGACAGGCGATTTAATTTCAGTGTAAAATTGTTCAGGGTTAGCATACAGAATGGATGTCCCATCTCCATTCAACTCAACACAGTTTTTTAAGTTACAGCTTCTGTTTTGCTTTTCAAAACTTAAATTTGATTTAAAAGGTTTTTCACATATCTCAAACATATCACAATTTTGCTTTAATAGAAAATGACCTTCACTTTGATTGACAATATTTGCAAACATATTATGTTCATAGCATTGTTCTACCCTCTTCTGAATGCTTTGACTTTGCAAGTGACACTGCAGAGAATCATCAATTTTCCTAAATTCTAGGAAAGAAGAGAACAGTGAATTATTCTGTAATCTCTCCTAATCTTAGTTTGAAATAAAACTGTTTCCACAAAATGTCTTCATGTGAAATAAGTAAGTAGTAACAATCCTATGTGTTATACAATAAGAAATATTTTTGGTCTTAATCCACAGTTCCTGACATTGAACTTATAAAACCATTTTAATTTTCTAAGTGACAAAAGTATCTTTTGTTATTCATTAAAATACTTTTTAAAATCATTACCCAAGGACGTATTGATTCCAGAGAGAGAGAGAGAGGAAGGGGTGGTCATAGGGAAGGGGAGAGAGAGAAATTGATTTGAGAGTAACATCAATCTGTTTCTTACCATATGTGCCCAGACCAGTGCCTGAGCCTGCAGCCCAGGCATGCTTCCTGACCTGGAATTGATTCCATGACATTTCGGTTTATGGGACCATGCTCCAACCAACTGACCTAGATTGGCCAGGAAAATCAGCAAAGGGTTCCTACACAGCTTCAAGATAGATCTAGTCACCAGAAAGACCAATCGAATAGAAGGTTGGACTTTTAGCCTCACCTACTGACCTCTAAGAAAGGAGGGAGGGCCTAGAGATTAAAGGTCTATACAAACTCTTAACCAGATTTGATCAGCTTCTGGGTTAGTGAACACATCCTTGTGCTTGGTGGGTAGTTCACCACAATTCCATGGGGACAGTAGCTTCTGTATACAGGAATCCTTCAGATCTTCCCTTATGTACCTATTCATCAATATCCTTTATAATATTCTTTATAATATACTAGTAAACATAAGTATTTCTCTGAGTTCTGTGAACTGCTTTAGCACATAATCTGACCCAAGGAAGGGCTTGTGAAAATCTCCAATTTATAGTTAGTCAGAAGCACAGGTGACAATCTGAACTTGCAATTGACATCTGGAATGAGGGCAGTCTTATGCAACTGAACTCTTAACTTGTAGGGTTCGACACTATTTCTAGGTAGGTACTAGCAGAACTGAGTAAATTTATGGGGCACCCGAATTTAATAGTTTTAGGTATACACACCTGAAGCAAATAAGGTAATCAGTCTGTGAAACATGTTAAAGGAGCTATGGAGTGTAAGAGGTGGAAGAAATCAGGATGTATGGGGTGGGGCAAATGTAGTTTTAAAGTTGTTCATATGGAAAATGATACAATAATCAAAAAATAATAACACAAGAATAAACTCTTGTGTACTCACAACTGTAAACCTACTTTTGCCCCACTGAGTATTTAAAGACAAAGTTCACTAATGGACTCAATGGCAGAAGCAGGAAGAGGTAAATGAAAGTGAGGACTCAGGATTACCCCAGGAATTATGTAGCTTGAGCCACTGGGTATGTAGAATGCCTGTTAAGGAAACGAGGAATATTACAGAAGTCCAGAATAAGAGGAAAATTTAGAGTGCACTGTGAAACAAAGTTTAAGGTGATAATTTACATATTCAAGTACAAATAATAACAAACTGGTTGATTATAGAAATCTTTAAAAAGTCTTATCTGAAAATAGCAGTGTCAATCCCATCAACATACACAACTTCTTCAAAGAAAGAGTAAATAGAGAGTACTAAATGACACTGTGTTTCAAAACATGTAAAATAAAAGATGAAGGCATGTGTAGTTCTGCAAGTCAGTCAGCCCTAGGATGAAAAGCAACCTAACTCTTCTAAAGGAGTAATCTCAAATGTAGACAAAAGCTTTTGTAATCAAGACCCCAGCTAATGCTCTGGCTGTATGGTCCTATGTTTCTACATAGAGGAGAATGGATGACATGCAATAAAGCGTTAACTCAGCAGTCATGGGTCATACCATCCCTGCACATTCAAAGACAGGTCAGGCCCTGACTGATTACTGGAAGGTAACCTCTGATTCCCAGGAATATCCTGTGTGATAGAAGTGTCTCTTTATGTCTGAGGTCTTAGGCCAAACCAGACAGTTTATGCAAACAATGTGATTTGTGGCTGATGCCTGTTCTTTGTGTACCTGAGGCTTTGGACAGCACTGCAACCTTTTGATTTGGGGGGATAGAGACACCAGCTGGGTCAGCTAAACTCTGGGGAGCTAACTCACATCCCTTAGTATGTGCTCAAAGGCATTTTATCAGGGAGCCATTCCCACTCCTGAAAGTGCAGTTCCAGGAAAAATAGCTACTGTTCCACTGGCTGCTTCAATTTTCCTTACAGCAATTTTTACCATAAGATGCATGTTTATTATTGATTATATAGTATTTTTCCTTTTTTATATTGCTCTTAGCTTCAAAAATATTAGGTGATCAGGGTGCAAGTTTTACTAAATATAGCAATAATGCAAATTGCAGGAGACTAAGGCCTTGTAGTAAGAGAAAGTGATGAATTCAAAGTTCTCTCTTTCCAGAGAAGCCTAGAAAGTGGAGTTTCACAGCAAGAGAGGTGGTAACACAGGCAGAGACACTGTGACTGTGGACAAAGAGGAGGAAAATCTGAGAATCCTAGGAAGAAAAAACTGTGCAAACACAAATGAGATGTAATTAAAATAAACAGGTGTCAGAGCTCAGGAGAGAAAAACGGGGTATGTTTTCCTTTAAACTTCTACAAAGAAAAAGCGTTCTCACACATGGAGGGTGGTTTGAGTTTCTTCATTCACTGCCACAGCTCTGACGCAGTCTCTGACTAGAATGTGACTTCCCGGCTGCCCACCTTGTTCGTTCTCACCCCCTCACCTGGGCAGACTAGAGGGTGCAGTTCATCCTGTACTGTCCAGGGTTCTTCCCCTTGCTCCCACCTGGACAGTGTGTTTGGTTTGCTGGCTTCATACCCTGCTTAAGAAAAATGACAGAAGACTTAGACACACTGAACTGGGATGAGGTCTGTCATTCATTTCACAGAATGAATAGGTTTCACATCTGTAACACAAAGACTTTTTTTCTCTCATAACAGGACATTCACTATACTCTCTTGTCTGGTACAAGGTAAGGAAATGAGATTCTACCATTTCAGAACACTGTAGTCATTCTGAAGAGTTAAGCAGCTGAGAAAAAAAAAAACAACCAAAAAACCAAAAATCACTAACAGGGCATTATCTGAATGACACCAGGCAGCTGTCCTCACCCACTGAGACAAGGTTGCTGTAGTTCTCCAACATCACGTCCCTGTACAGGTCCTTCTGATGGGGGTCCAGGAGCTGCCACTCTTCCCAGGTGAAGTCCACGGCCACATCATGAAATGTCAGGGATTCCTGTAACAGCACCGTGCTGTTTAATGGCATGATGTCCTTTGGATGATAAATGTTATTTTTTCTGCTCATTTTCACTTTATAGGCTGCATCTATATAGTGAGAGGGATTTAAGATACAGTTGAATAATCACATGTCTAGGAAAATACACTGTGGGGCAAAATTAGGCTTTCAATTGTTCTTATGGAAAATAATACAATGATTAATAGATAATAATACAAGAATAAACTGTGTTTGGTGTATTCACAACTGTAAACCTACTTTTGCTCCACCGTGTATTTTGTAATTGGGCATTCAGTCATTCAAGCATTCATACAATTAGAAGTTTCTATGATGTAAAGGTCAATGTTCTTGCACTCGTGTACTTGAGAGACAAAAAACATATATGCTTTTCAGATTAACAGAGGTGATTTTTTATAGGTCTCTACAAATCAATAAAGATAGAAAAGGATGAATCAAACCCAAAGTCACCTGAGCCTGAAGCATTTTCTTCTGTTTTCTAGAATAAGCTGGCAAAGGTAGGCTCTGTTTGGGAATGTTCTGGGTGTGCTCTAAATTTCTGTTAAGAAGTCTGTCTTCAAAAAAATAAAAGTAAGAAAATAAGAAATCTGTCCTCAGAAATGCTGATACCCAATCCTGCAACCTCTTCATGCATCACACAATTCTACTGTAACTGGTGTTGATGTAAGGAAAGTCCAAACCTGCCCTGGCTGGTGTGGCTCAGTGGACTGAATGCCAGCCTGTGAACCAAAGGGTCACTGGTTTGATTGTCAGTCAGGGCACATGCGTGGGTTGTGGGCCAGGTCCCAAGTAGGGAGCACGTGAGAGGGAACCACACATTGATGTTTCTCTTCTCTTTCTCCTTCCTTTCCTCTCTCTCTAAAAATGAACAAATAAAATCTTAAAGAAAAAGTAGAAAAGTCCAATCCTGTAGAGAATTATGAGTTTATTTGAGCCAAAATAATGACAATTGCTGGAAAGCAAAATAATAAGGGATTGAGAAAATGCTCTAGAGATTGGCAGTTTTGCACTTTATTTTATACCTTAGAATCAGAGAAGTCATAAGGGGGTTACAAAAATCCATTGGTGATAGATAAGGGAGGTGGGAAAGCAAACTTGGGAAATCTCTGGGACTAGATAAAAAGGTAAAATGAATAGACACATTCATTTTACACAGGTGGGTAGGAGAATTAACAGTTAACAACACAGTAACAATGACAATGAGGGGTTCCTGGCTCTGGTTGGAGATTGTGCCCTAAGGGGTCTGAAAAAAAGGAAATTACCCTGACATTCCAAAGGTTTGTTATCCTAGATGCAAAAAGGCAATGGACAGCCTCAGTTAAGGTAGAGATTGGCCTTTGTCAAGGAAGACATCAGTCTAGGATATGACTATGCTCCATGGCTAGCTTTAATAAAAAAGTTGTAATTTCAAACCATTCTATATGGTTACTTTCAGCTTCTTTGTTTGTAAGGCCCGCCATGCAGGCCTCCCCTGAGCTTGTCAGGTTTAGTACATGGCCCCTTTCTCCTCCATACTGGGGAGTCGAACCTGTGGGTTGAGAATATCCAATGAGTGGTACACTTTCTCTGAGATCTGATGATACAGTGCTCCTGTCACAATTCCCCCAGTATTGCTGGTGTCCCTTTATTGGTTCTCCTGCAAGTATTTATACTTCAGGCCAACAAAGCCTCAGGTTCTAAATGAGGTGGAGGTTTTCCTTTATTCTGTGGAGTTAAAAATGGAGTGATTGTTTAAAAAAAGAAAAGGTGAGGGAAATGACATGGTAGTTGCAGAATAATTTTTCCTTCTCTTTTAGGTTGTTTGGTGGGTTTAATTATAATTAAATTGATATAACACACGTTAACAGGGGAAAAACAGTTTTAAAATTTAGAACATGTATACCTCCTGGGTACATGTAAGCAACCCAGAAAAATGGCATAACAGGCTAAAATAGTTGTGCCACTGCCTAAAATATTACCTTCACCTAAAGTCAAAAGATGTTGGTGGTGAAAAATCCATTAGGGGAGGTTCCTAGTAACCTCTTTAGTTATTATGCATTTATAAGTCCTAATTCCTACACTGGTGTGGTATAGTGAAGGAGACACCCTTGCAGGTGAAATTGTTCTTATATGTGTCAATGTCCTTCACAAGGGATAACTTCTACTAGGTTTTCAGAGCTTTTCCCAGGACTGCAGTTTCTTCAAAATAAGCAGCCTAAAATAACCAATATCAAAAAGAGGCATATTTTTAGGGTGGCAAACTGCTCCTAGGACTCAAAAAATTATAGTCCTCTCCCAGAAAGGACTAACAGATTTTTCACTTACACAACTGGTTGGAACTGCATCATGTCCCCAAGCTCATTTCGTAGTAATTCAGTCACTAGGAATGGAACCTAAAACTACCACTGTGAAGATGAACCAGACCTTAGTAATACACTGGTATATGGGTCACTTTGCTAGAGTGACGGACAGTAAATAAAATGGAGATTCAGTTACCAAAGAAAAATGTATGAATGTATGTCAGGCAAATAAGCAACAGTGTCCGGTGCTGCATATTGAGGTGAGTGCAAGTGTTGTAAAACATTTTCTGAAAGAAACAGATAAACATTTTCGACGTTCCAGACCAAAATGTCTGTATCACATCGACCCAATTCTGCCTTTGCAGCGAGAAACAGGACACGGAAGATACATGACAAAAGGGCCTTGCTGATTTAGGCCTTGGGTCTTTAGTAAACTGCTGGATTAAAGGTTTAAAAACGGGTGGTTTGGAAATAGTACCCTGGGACCTAACGCCTTCTGTTCCAGCAGCAGCCGAGGTCGTAACTTAAATCAAACGCCAGGAGGGGTCCATTGCGTCCAAAATTCACCGTCACAAGCCCTCTCCGCACTAGACATTCACTTCTTTAGTAATCGCTAATCGAGGCCAGACACCCCAATGCGAGGACCACCCACGCCGGCCCCAGCATCACCGAGCGGCGCAGTAAATCCCCAACCTGAATCCGGCACCGCGATAGTCCTAAATGCCACCTGCACCCCATACAAGTGGGGTGACCCACACCCCGACAGTCGCGACAAGGACGTTATCTGTAAAGACTCTTAATCGGTGCACAGACCCCCCAGGACACACCGATCACAGACGGACGCCTCTGGTTCCCCTCAAATACTTCAACTCTCTTTCCCACCTGGTTCCGCTTCACTAGCTCCACCTGGGCGCTTCTACCCTTGCCCCCTCCGACCCCAATCATGATTCTACGCTCCACACTACACCTCGTCCACACGTCACCCTGTGAGAAACAAAACCCACTGTGACGAAAAACTTCTGGAGACAAAGCCATACACGGAACCGACTTTCCCTCTACACCCACTGGGAGAGTTTGCGCTAACCGCTTCGACTCCTGCGCGGGTGCAGCGCTCGGTCTACGGCAGCCGACGAGTACCTGAGACTTTTGAAGAAACGCAGCAAGCGCTCTTCCGCATTCGTTAGCAATATGTCCGCGCCCACCTACGGACGCCGCCACGTTGGGGCACCTGAGGGCCGTACAGAAAACAGAGCTGAGGCTTTGGGGACAGTTGCCAGGGATCGCGGAAGGGTGAGAAGCTATTCAATTAATTACGTTTCCTGGCACTTCGACTCTTGCCAAAAAAAAAAAGAAAAAAAGGCGGGGGGGATTTTCAGAGCATCGCGATGCAAACATGGTGCAACCTAAGTTGCTTTCGGCAGGCTGGGAAGAGAAATATTAGAGCTGTGGGGTATATTCTCCAATTTACATACATATTTTTTAAAAAAAGAGTTTCCAAAGGGACAATTAGGAGTTTGGGTGTCGGTATAGCAGCGGAGGAGGCACTTCTAGGAAGAGACAAGATAATACATCTGGGGGACGGACATCCACAGATGGTGAAACCAGACAGGGACTGGCCTAGAGCAGGTCTGCCTCGGGCCAGCCTGTAGTGGGTGCGTTCTTCACATTGTGTAGAAAGGATTTCAGAACACAAGTCCAGGTATTTTGAAGTGCGTTTATGAAAACTGGGGAGAGTGAAACAAAGGAAGGACTTAGGGTAGAAGTAACGGGAGAAAGCCTAGGCGGTGCTCTGCTTCGGCTTCCTAAAAACTTACAGGAAAAAAGTGAGCCAAGGTGGGGCTGCTTTTAGTTCACTGAGAAGTCAGAGAAAGGGGAGCCTTGGAGACAGGGTAAGGGGGAGGTAGCCCGGTCGAGCTGCCGCTGCCCACTGCACCCCTGGCTATAGGTCTAGTGAGACCTTTAGAGTCTAGAAGGAAGTAAAAGTTTTCATGACCCGAAAGGGCATGGGCAAGCTCCAGAGTAAGCCAGCCCTGAGCTTTGTCCTGAGGGCTTTTGTCTCTTCTCCGTGGGTGAGGAATTTAAAGTGGGGTTTCAGCAGAATATTCATCAACTTTCTGGGTACCTTTTCGATATGCTGATGTACTAAAATAAGTGCACAGGGGAGTTTGGGATTATTCTTTAGTCTGCCATACTGTTTTATCTTGTGTCTGTCTGATTTTTAATGGAGTTTTTGTTATTTGTTCCCTAACTTTATCTGTCCTTGAGTTTAGCTGCCACAAATGTCATTAAGAGGGTCTCTGCTCTCTATTTTCCCAGGCCAGGGAAATTTAAGCTATGTATTCTTTGGTTGGGGAGGGGAGGTATAAACTATTGGGTTGGCCAAAAAGTTAATTTAGTTTTTTTCTGTACAATGGCTCTAGTAGTACTTGGTTGTCTTTAACTTCATTCGAAACAATTTTGTTGGATTATATTGTGACAACTGTCATATCAGCATGCATTAAAAAACAAACAAACAAAAAAATGACTTACCAAGACTGGTGAGTTTTTGTGCAGCCATTATAATATTGAAGATGGAACAAGGTACACAACATTTTCGGCATGCTATGCTTTATCATTTCAAGAAAGGTAAAAACACAACTGAAACACAAAAAAAGATTTGTGCAGTGTATAGAGAGGGTGCTATGACTGATCAAACGTGTCAAAAGTGGTTTGCGAAGTTTCTTTGTACCATTGACATTTTGGCCAAATAATTCCTAGCTGTTGGGGCTGTCTTATGCATTGGAAGATGTGTAGCAGCACCCCCTCGCTTCTACCCACTAGATGCCAATAGTAGAAGATAGCTGACATAGTCAAGATATCCAAATGAATAAAGTTATTGGTGAAAATAAAAAATGTATCTTTTGTCATGCAGGAAAAACTAAACAGACTTTTTGGCCAACCCAATATTTGCTCTCAAGTCTACTTGGTTAGGGAAAATAAGTTCTTGCGATTTACAAGATGACTTTAAGTTGCTCAAACTGTTTGGTCTTGTTTAATTTTGTCTCAGTTTTCCCATTCCACTTGCCCAGGAACTTTCCTAGCTTCTTACTGTCCTGTCACACTGAACCCCAGCCCACGACTGACGTTTCTGGTTTAGGGGGTGTGGGATTTACTGGGGAATTTGCATTCATTTACACTTCTGAAGGA